GCGGACGCCAGCACCAACGCCTCTGACCGTCGCTGACGCCAGCGCGAGCGCCAGCGACGTGCGCCAGCGCCAGCGACTGTCGCGAGCGCCAGCGCCAGCGCCAGCGCCGGTCCCCAGCGCCAGCGCCAGCGCCAGCGCCAGCGGCATGCGCCAGCGCCGGTCGCGAGCGCCAGCGCCAGCAGCGGCCGCCAGCGCCCCTGCCATCGCCACCCCGCTCCCCGCCTCCGCACCTGCCGTCGCTCTCTTCTACGGTGGACGTTGCGGGGGGGAGGTGGCGAGGCTCGCGCCCGCGGCTACGGGGGTGCTTAAGCCCCCTTGAACCCTCCTGCCCCTCCCTAATCCTCCTCCTCATCGCTGCCCGTGCATCTGCAGTTCGTGCCGCGTTTGGGGGGGGGGGGAAGAGGGTGTGGGGGTGGCGGGTATGTGCAGGCAGCCGCCTCCCCCTTCTCCTCCTCCTTCCGCTGCACTTCCTCTCCTCCTCCTCCTCTCCTCTCCTCCAGCCGCATCTCCTCCTCCTCTCCTCTCCTCTAGCCGCATCTCCTCCTCCTCTCCTCTCCTCCAGCCGCATCTCCTCCTCCTATCTCCTCTCCTCCAGCCGCATCTCCTCCTCCTCTCCTCTCCTCCAGCCGCATCTCCTCCTCCTCTCTTCTCCTCCAGCCGCATCTCCTCCTCCTATCTCCTCTCCTCCAGCCGCCTCTCCTTTGCTCTCCTCCTGTGCACCACCAGCAGCTTCCTCCTCCTCACCAACAGTTGTGTTTGCTCGTAGATGGCGAGCGACCAGCATCCTTCGCCCTCCGGCTATCCCAGCCCTCCTCCGCGCTCTCCGCGCCCTCCTCCGTCCTGGCGTTCACAGGTGCTGCCGGTCAGCCACCGCTGTTTCTGTGCCTATCCCAGCTACAGCAACCGCTCTCCAGGCGACCTGGTGCCAGGCACCACTAGCTATAGCCGTAGGTAGTTACGGGGGTGTGTTGAATTATATTGCATATCTTATAACTGCCTACAGCTAGCTAGTGTACTAGTTTAGGTATTAGCATCAACTGCTGGTGGTGTACCCTCCCTTTTGCCCATTCCTATATCTTGTATTCATTCCATAGTGAAACTCCTCTTTTGGCCAACCTAAACTCCCTCGATAACCATCTCACTATGCTACTCTCCCTCCAAGCTCCTAATCTCCCAAGTTCTTATCTCAACAGTTGGATGCGTCTCATAATACACCACATCGTGATTTGGAGCATTATGAAAAGGTGAAAAAAAGCAAAATAATGTTCCATTGATGTTGCCAAGACAAGACTATAAGCACAAGCACAAATCTAGGAGGTGGTAACTTTTCAACCCACTCCTGTTGGGACCCATGGTGCTGGCACCTGTACAAGCATGGTTCTGTATGGAACGGGGAGGGAAGAGGGGATATGGCAGAATAAGCGAGGGGTGAAGGTGGAGGGCATGTATGGGAGGAGTTAGGCAGAGGAGTGAGCGAAGCGGGGAAGAGAGTGAGCAGGGTGGAGAAGGCGGTGAGCAAAGGGGATAGCCAGTAAGCATGGGGCTAAGGAGGGGAAATGAGAGGGCTTGGGGGGGAAAAAGGGTTGAACAAAGGGGAATAGAGAGTAAACAGGGTGGAAAGATGGGTGAGTACAGGGGGAAAGAGAGTGACCAGAGGGGGAGAGAGTGAACAAGGGGTAAGGGAGTGAGCAGGGGATTTTAGGGGCGAGCACAGGGGGAAATAGACCGAGCAGGGGGGAAATGGGTGAGAAAGGGGGAAAGAGGGATGAGAAGAGGGGAAAGAAAGTGAGCAGGGGGGAAAGAGAGTGAGCAGGGGGGAAGAGAGCGAGCAGGGAGGGAGAGAGTGAGTATAGGAGTGAGCCGGGAAAACAGGGGCGAGCAGAGGGGGTAAGAGAGCGTGAAGGGGGAAAATGGGTGAGAATTGGGGAAAGTGGGGTGAGAACAAGGGGAGTGAGCAGAGGGAAAGAGAATGAGCAGGGGAAAGAGATTGAGGAGGGGGGAAGCGAGTGAGCAGGGGGAAAGAGAGTGAGGAGGGGGGGGAAGAGAGTGAGCAGAGGGAAAGAGGTTGAGCAGGGGGGAACGGTTGAGTGAAGGGGGGAAGAGGGGTGAGAACAGGGGGTGAACAGGACAGGAGAGAGTGAAGGGTGGGGAAAAGAGTGGGCAGGGGGGAAGAGAGTGAGCAGTGGGAAAGAGATTGAGCAGGGGGAAAGAGAGTGAGCAGCAGAGAGTGAAAGGCAATGGGAGGGGAAGTGAAGGCGACAGGTGGGGAAGCGAGTGTGACGGGCGGGAAAGCGAGTGCGGCATCCGGGGAAGGCGACGGGAGGGGGAATCGAAGGCATCGGGGGGGAGAAGTGAAGGCGACGGAAGGGGGGAGTGAAGGCGACGGGAGGGGGAAGTGAAGGCGACGAGAGGGAAGGCAACGGGGGGGAGAAGTGAAGGCGACAGGAGGGGGTAGTGAAGGCGAAGGGGGGGAGAAGTGAAGGCGACGGGAGGGGGTAGTGAAGGTGACGGGAAGGGGAAGTGAAGGCGACGGGAGGGGGGAAAGTGAAGGCGACGAGAGGGGGAAGTGAAGGCGACGGGAGGGGGAAATGAAGGCGACAGGAGGGGGAAGTGAAGGCGACGGGAGGGGGAAGTGAAGGCGACGGGGAGGGGGAATTGAAGGCGAGGGGAGGGGGTAGTGAAGGTGACGGGAAGGGGAAGTGAAGGCGACGGGAGGGGGAAGTGAAGGCAACGGGAGGGGGAAGTGAAGGCGACGGGAGGGGGAAGTGAAGGCGAGGGGAGGGGGTAGTGAAGGTGACGGGAAGGGGAAGTGAAGGCGACGGGAGGGGGGAAAGTGAAGGCGACGAGAGGGGGAAGTGAAGGCGACGGGAGGGGGGGAAGTGAAGGCGACGAGAGGGGGAAATGAAGGCAACGGAAGGGGGCGGTGGAGGGGGGGGGGAGTGAAGGCGACGGGGGGGAAGTGAAGGCGACGGGCGGAGCGAAGGCGACGGGCTGGGGTCGCGAACGCGACGAGCTGCGGAAGCGATGGCGACGACGCGGGCGACAGAGAGCGGAAGCGTGGGACCTAGGGAAATGAAAGCGAGGGCGAGGGGAGGGTCACGCTAGGGCGAACGGGTGCGATTCGATTTCCGCCGCGAGTTTACGCTACGCAGTAGTTGCACAATAAAATGCATTTCGACACAAAAATCTTCACCCAGCGAGCACTAGCTTTGCGCGTCATCATCGAAATCCGCGCCACCCACATCGTAAGGCGCATCTGATCCCTTTTGAGTGAACGCCGACGCCCTGCCCTGTCTACAGGTATGGTCTATGTCTAATACTCTGCGTGCTATCTCAAACTGTGCACAGTTTGGTATGCACGTGCTTTTCTGGTTGTGGAAGGACCCCACCCATCATGGGAAGCGAGAAACTTTTGTCGCAAATTGGTTTCGCGAGTGAAAGTCTCTCGCAACCCAACCGAACCTCTCCGTGCCTGCCTCCCGAACCTAGTTCTTAGCGTTGACTTCCGTTGAGTAATTCAGGTCTTGGGCTTTAACTAGATTTCTCTTGAAAGTTGGAACAATAAAACAGATCGCGGTTCCCGCGATCAAAGGCATGCCACGTGGCGATAATAAAATGAAGGGCGATTCCGCGGGATTGAGCAAAACTCTCCTTGGTCGTTCCCTAGCTCGTGCGGTTCGGAGCTGAGCAAGAGAGAAGCGAATCCAGCAGCGCTTGGGAGAACGCATGCGCACAGAGACGACTGAACTGCACCCGTGCACAGGGAGTGAAAAGGCAAGAGAGAGCGATAGAAAGAGGTGGTGTCGAGCCGAACTGCACGATTTTCCTGCAGTACAGCGGTCTGCTCCCGTTTCCCCTAGTTCGCCATCATGACGTCATCATGACTCGACAGCCGTGTCGGCTGCCGAAGCGTCACGCGGAGTTTCGAGCTTCCCTGGCAGCTCGTCGCGTCACACGCACACCTCATGAGCAGAAAACCCGCACTTGCTCATCCAAGGTTGACAATCGTCACGTTCCTCGGAGGGACGTCGACGTCTTTGTGCTTCTCGGCTCGCGAGTCGCGACACGCGCGAGTCAGCATAGGCACCACCACCCATCATGGTTCTCATGGCTTGTCTGCGATGGCCAGTCCTTCCCATCCATCCAATAGGTCCACGTGGAGCAGCGCCGCCCGGCGCGCTCCGGCGTCGTCCACTGCGGCGCTGTCGTCGTCGCCGCGGCTCGGCGCCATGGCTGCCGCGGCTCCACGTGTATCCCACGCGAGCCCCCTCAGGGGCTCTCCGCGCGGCATGCTCGTGGCGGAAGGTTGAATTTCCCGCCGGGGTTCTCCGGTCCGACTGTGATCGCTCCCATTGTTGGCAAGAGCGGGATTCATTCCTGCTTTCGTTCTCGTCCTTCACTCCAGTGGAGGCCGGACCTTCCAGTTCCAATCTCGCGTTCGTGCTGTGACTTCTTTATTCATAGCCCTTCAGTGAAAACAGGCACGTTGAGTGAGCGAGTCGTTTGCGAACAAAGCGCAAGAGACGGCGAAACGGCGACATGGTTCAGCTGAACCCACCACTTCGTTCTCCCCCACCCGCGTCGTCCCGCAAGGAGATTAATATCCCCGTTTTAATCTATGCCAGTCCACGGGATTTCATAGTTGCCCTGCAAGGCGTGGTCGAGTATCTCTAACACGCTGCACTCCAAGTCGAGTCGGGCTTTTAGTCGTTGAGAGGCCCTCTAGTAGCCGTGTTGATGCGGTGTCCGGCAAGGCGTTTCGCATTGCCAAGTCTCGACTGCGAGTGCGAATCTTGGAAACGCAGGCTCAGCCTTTCCCCAGGCGGCCCGAGCAAAGCAGCCGTGAGTTCGTTACACCTGCGTGACCGCCGTGGTACTACCAGCCAGCCTCTCCTTCTCCCGCACCACTCCTCTACTAGTCGTTGCTCAGCTCAGCACACGCCTTGCCTTCCTTGCTTCCTACCTTCCTCCGAGGAAGACCTTGCTCTCGAGAGAGAGTCATGGGCCACCGACGCAGCTTCTCCCTCCCTCCGCCACTGCCGCACTTCCGCCTGCCACCGCCGCTGCTGCTGCTGCTGCTGGCGGGGCTGCTTCTGCTGCTTCCGCCGTGCCCTGCTGCCGCCACTCGCATCAACGACGCCCAAGGTCGCTCGCTCCTCCTCCTCCTAGCTGCACCTCTCCTCGCTTTCCACTCTCCCCCACTCTCCCCCACTCCCCACCTCTCCCTCCGGCTCTCCAACCCCACCACTCCCCACCTCTCCCTCCGGCTCTCCAACCCCACCACTCCCCTCCTCTCCCTCCCGCTCTCCAACCCTCCCACTCACCTCCCCCCTCCCCCCCTCTTTCCCACTGTACCCCATCCACAGCCTCTTCCCTTGCCACTGATTAGCCTCCTCTCCTTTCAAATTCCATCCCTCTCCCTCTCTCCCTCTCCTTCTTCCACTCTCCAACCTCCCCCGCAGCTTGCTTCCCCCCTCTCCCCGCCCTCCTTACTGTAACGTCCCACCCACACCACTGTCCCCACCTTGACGAACGTATATTAATCCATTCCAAGCCCTCAGTGCTATGCTCCCTGGCTATTCTTCCGCTGGTGCTGCTGTGCGCTGCCGCACCGCACGTCCGCTCGTTCAGCCGCCAAATCAACTCCCTCGCTCCCTCTTGCCTCGCCCCTCCCTCCCCCCTGCCTCGCCCATCCCTCCCACCTGCCTTGCCCATCCCTCCCCCACGACTCGCCCTTCCCTCCCCCCTGCCTGGTCCCCTTCCCCACGTCCCCCTTCCACGAGCCCCTGGCAGCGCTGGTGCTGGAGGAGTGCGGCAAAGCATGGGGATTGTCGGCGAACGAGTGGCACGTGGGGGGCGAGTGCGACACGGCGCAGTTCATTGCCTGCGACGCCAACGGGCTCGTCACTGCCATGTGCGCCCGCCGGGTGGGAAGGAGGGGGCGGGGGAAGAGCGGACGTGGAGGGAGGGAGGGAGGGAGGGATTAGGAGGACAGTATGGTGGTTGTAGCGGCAACGGAGGGTGGGGCGGGAGAGAGGGTGCGGTGGGCTACAGAAGCCATTGCTGTCAGTGTGCTGTGACTGTGCTGTGCTTCATACTTCTGCCTTTCTCTCTGTGTGTGCTGTGCTGTGCTGTCTGTGTGTATGTGTGTGTGTGCATGTGTGCGCATGTGTGTGTGTGTGTGCATGCATGTGTGCATGCATGCATGTGTGGCCTCAACACAACACAACAGGTGGCTGGAAAGCGAAGGTCTATCTGGCTCCATCCCAACAGCTCTTGGCACTCTCACCTCTCTCGCCTCTCTGTATGCATGTCGCACCGCTTTGCACGCCTGTGTCACAACTCTGTATGGGGCACTCGTCATCATCTCCTCCTTATTCCTAGTGTCTCACCCCATCCTCACTCGCTGCCCATTTCCACCCTCTTGGTGCTGCGGTGCAATCTATCCTGTGCTGCAACCTGTGCTACAACCTGTGCTACAACCTGTGCTACAACCTGTGCTACAACCTGTGCTGCAACCTGTGCTGCAACCTGTGCTGCAACCTGTGCTGCAACCTGTGCTGTCATCTAACCGCCCACATCCCCCCTTCTCCCCCACAATTCTCACCCGTGGTACCCATCCCTGCTTCTGTGTGCTGTGCTGCCACGCGTGCAGAACCCTCAGCTACAATGCTCTGGAGGGCCCTATACCGGCATCCTTCAGCGCACTTGCTTCGCTCGCTCACCTGTGAGAAGCAGGCGGACACAAGTAGGAGGGAGGGAGGGAGGGTAGCGGGGGAGGGGAGGAGGGTAGCGAGGGAGGGGAGGAGGGTAGCGGGGGAGGGGAGGGAGGGTAGCGAGGGAGGGGAGGAGGGTAGCGGGGGAGGGGAGGGAGGGTAGCGAGGGAGGGGAGGAGGGTAGCGGGGGAGGGGAGGGAGGGTAGCGAGGGAGGGGAGGAGGGTATCGAGGGAGGGGAGGAGGGTAGCGAGGGAGGGGAGGGATGTTTAGATCACGAGTGCTTATGAGGCGCCTCAAAGCACATTCAGATCTGTGTGTGTTTGATCCTCTCACACATCGCCCCTGGCATTGCGTCGCTCTCTTCCGCACCTCGTGAGCATTCATGCGGTCTGGTATTCGCCCTTTTTGGACCTGGTGCTCGGGGGTTGACCCTCACCGGTTCCGTGCGGTGCAGTGCAGTGCAGTGCAGTGCACATGTGTATCGCGGCCGTCTCATTCTCCTGCACTCCTCACCTCTGCCTGCACTCAGGAGCTCTAACCCGCTCTCCCTCGTTCTCCCGTTTCACCACCCGTCTGTTCTTTCCTTCCCTCTCTCACTCAAGCGGCCGTTGCCTCTCACTCTTTATCCCTCTCTTCTCTATATCGTGCGCGCTCTCTGAGTGGCAGTGATCTTCAGTCCAATGTGCTGGGAGATGCCATTCCAGATGCCATCTCATACATGACTGCTCTCACAGGCCTGTGCGTGCACCATTCCATTCGCACCTCGCATCTGCCTTACATGCTTTGTGCACCTTCACGTGCTCCCTTGTGTCACCTCGTCCCCTTGTCTCACATCACGCTCGCCTCCCATGTCACGTCACGGTCACGGCATGGTTGTATCTCTCCCTCTGCATCCCCTCTGCATGCCCTCATCGTGTTCCTGCATGTGCCTTCACAGCCCTCCTCAGCAGCATTCTGCGCTCTATATCCTCATCTCAATCCCATGCCGCCCTTGCATGTCTCACTCACTCACTCCCATGCCTCCCTCCCTCACTTCCTCGCCGTCATCACTCCTTCACGTGTGAACAAAACATTCAGCGAGTGCCTCCACTCCACGGCTCTCCATCTCCCATTGCCCGCATGTCCCCACCTTTGAGGCGCCTCAAAAGTCCTCCACTCCACGGCCTTCCATCCTGCATGTCCCCATCGCAGTGATCTCGCCAACAACCAGCTGTCTGGTGCCATTCCCCCTGGCATAAGCGCCCTCACGGACCTCCGAGAGCTGTGAGTGTGCCAGTAATTGCCAACCCAGCAGCCATTGACGTCCCAGCAACCACGGACGACCCAGCATCCCGTAGGCTTTGCTTTGTGGAAGGGCATTGTTGCCTTTTTGTCCGCCTGCCTTGACCCTCAGGGTGGATATTGATCAAGCTGGATTCACTTGCGTGCTCTTTCATGCTCTTGTCTTCTCTCCTCCACACCCCCCACCCCCCACCTCTCCCCCCCCTCCCCCCCGCATCTCGTGTTGTCTCCCTGTGCGGACATGTCATTACTCACTGCCCTCTGCAGCTACCTCGATCACAACATGCTCACAGACAGCATTCCCACGGAAATGGGCAGCCTGGTGCTGCTTCACTACCTGTCCGTACCTGTCAGAATCCACTGCTCTGTACCTTTCCACTGCTCTGTACCTTTCCATTGCTCTGTACCTTTCCATTGCTCTGTACCTTTCCATTGCTCTGTACCTTTACATTCCGACCATTATCCACCTACATTCTGTTTCTATCAACTCAAGAATCACCTTCCTCCGAACCACCTTCCTCCGGACCACCTTCCTCCGAACCACCTTCCCCCGAACCACCTTCCATCGAATCACTTTCCTCGGAATGGCCTTGGCTTGCGAATGAGCTTGTGTTTGTGAACCGCCCATCACAGGAGCCTGGACTACAACAAGCTAGGTAGCTCCATCCCTCACGCCCTCAGTACCCTCACCAACCTGCTCTACATGTCAGTCGCTCCAGCCTCCACCCCTCCCAGGTCCTCCCTGCCTCACAGCCCTTGCCTGCCCATTTCTCAGGCTCATGTTACAATAGTGCATCGCTCTCCCTCCTGCAACCCTTTTGAGACGTCTGAAAAGTCATTTCTCAGGCTCATATTACAGTGGTGCATCACTCTCCCTCCCGCAACTATGCCTGCATGGCGAGAGTGAACTGATTGGCCCCTTCTCAGACGTCTCTCTCAAAAGTGCTTTGAGACGTCTCAAAAGTCGTGTGCATGGCGAGAGTCAACCGATTGGCACCTTGCTTTCAACCTTTCCTTCACTCAACCGATGGCAAAAGTCATCTGCGCTTGCGCATCACTCTTCCTCTCCCACATCGCACTCAGAACCCATTTCAGCTCACTTCGTATTTCCAGTTCCTTTATACGCCTGTAACTCTGTTACACTGCCAACATGTGACTGTTTCTCAGGCGCCTCAGAAACAGTGTGTGACTGCCTTCACCCCATGCTGTGTGCTGCATGCTGCTCGCAGGTCAATGGGCAACAATGAGCTTGAGGGATCCATCCCTGCCTTCCTCTCTTCCTTCAATACACTCTCCCACCTGTCAGTGTACCCACATACCTACCTGTCAGTGTACCCACATACCTACCTGTCAGTGTACCCACATACCCGCCCTCCTTCCCCAACTCCCCCCCTCCCTTCCTCCCTCCCTCTCTCCCTCCCTCGCTCCCTCCCTTCCTCCCTCCCTCTCTCCCTCCCTCGCTCCCTCCCTCCCTCCCTCCCTCCCTCCCTCCCTCCCTCCCTCCCTCCCTCCCTCTCTCCCTCCCTCCCTCCCTCCCTCCCTCCCTCCCTCCCTCCCTCCCTCCCTCCCTCCCTCCCTCCCTCCCTCCCTCCCTCCCTCCCTCCCTCCCTCCCTCCCTCCTTCTCATCCTGCCATTGCCCCTCTCTCCCCCCACCAGCGCACTCCACAACAACCATCTCTCAGGCTCCATTCCTGCTGACATTGGCAACTGCGCTGCTCTAGAGACACTGTGAGAACCGTACTGCTGTTCCTCCCTTCCTCCCTTCCTCCCTTCCTCCTTCCCTTCCTTACCTCCTCATTCCCTCCTGTCCATTCCAGTTAGCCTACTCGAACCTCTTTCCATGTTCCGTCCACTCCCTTCCTTTCGTCACTCCCCCCGTGCTAGTGCGTACGCACCCACACACACTCACACCCCCTTGCTTCTCTCCCCCTTCCTATCTTTCTATACTGCCATGGACACACCCGCACCCCTCATGTCTCCTCTGCTATAAATCCTTACCTGCTCTTCCTCCTCGCCCAGTGTGCTATCCAACAACAAGCTGACAGGAGCCATACCCTCTTCTATAGGCGCCATGACGTACCTCAGTACCCTGTGAGGGAGGGAAGGACGGAGGGAGGGAGGGGGCGACGGGAGGTTGGGGGGGGAGGGAGGCTGGGGGGGAGGGAAGGGAGGGGGGAGGGAGGGAGGGAGGGAGGGGGAGGAGAGAGTGAGTGTGCGCGGAGGGGTTAGCAAGAGAGATGGGTGGTCATCACGTGAAGCAGGGAAGAAAGTGAGATTGGTGGTTACCACGTCGCCCGTCCTCACCTGAGAGTTTTTGACAAGTTTCAACAAGCCTTATTCCGTTGCACGCCCAGCAGCTTCCTCTCGTCACGATATTCTGAGAAGTCAAGTAGCTCATTTTCTGTCAGGGATTGCCATGCCATACCGTGCTGTGCCATGCCATGCTATGCCTGCAATTCACCCCATCACTACTTGACAATTCCAGCTACCTGAACGACAACAAGCTTGACGGGTCCATTCCCAGCACCATTGCTCTGCTGCACGATCTCTCATGGCTGTACGAAAGAGACCCTAGCTTCTCGATTTACTCTTCCATGCTGCCATACCCATGCGTCGTCTTCCTTTGCATGGGTTCTGTCGTCCATCTCTTTTGCGCATGCGTCGCCATGAGCACCCATGCACATGCATCACTGTGCATCCCTGTATGCATCTGCAACATTCTTCATACGATTCCCGCACATGCGCACGATGCCCTTCCGCACCACGCCTCACCATTTCTCACCACGCCTCACATTCACCACTTCCCTCCTGCCCCTCTCTCTTCACCCCATCTTTCCTCCAGTTGCCTTTCTTACAACTCTCTGACTGGGAACCTTGACGACCTCTCCCCACTGTCTAATCTAATCGGACTGTGAGTGGATTTCACTTCTACTCTTCCGTCTACACACCCATCTACTCTCCCTCACACCACTCTCCCTCTCTCGTTCCTCTCGCTCATGCACTTCCTTCACCCTCCACTCCCTCCCCAAGTCACCCTCCCAACTGTCATCTTTATTTCATTGCTCAGGTAGACACTCTCACTCTCGCCCTCTCTACCCTACACCCTCCCACCCTCCCGCTCTCTCACTCTCTCACTCCCTCACCCCCCCGCACTTGTTACACTTACCACTCTCTGCAGCTTCTCACCACTCTCGTCCGCAGTGTCCGCTGCACGAATGCCACTCACGCCTCTCCTCCCTCCTTTCCTTGCTTCCAACTAATCCCACTACCCCCACCACTCTTCCCAACCATCTTCCCCCCTTCCCTCCCTTCTTGCACTGCACCCATCTGCACCGCACATCACCCAGGGAGCTATCCAGCAACGCCATAACCGGCCCGCTCCCCACCACTCTAAGGGAGCTCCCCCGCCTCGAAACCCTGTGAGAGAAGTTCTGTTTTGAGGCGTCTCAAAACAATCCTGTGAGCATGTGATCCATGCAGTGTCTTTTGAGTCGACTCAGAAGTCGCTTCAAAACCCTATGAGCATGTGACCCATGCAGTGTGCGTGAGAGAGAGCGTGATGTGCAGGTGGGCGGACTGTCTCCCGCCTGCTGTCCCCTCGCTTCCTTTGTCACTTCTCCCTTCACTTGGTGCCCTCTGTTGGCCTCTGTCGCACTCTCTTGCACTCTCTCGCACTCTCTCGCACTCTCCCTCCTTTTCTCTCCCTCTCTCTCTCCCTCTCTCGCACTCTCTCGCACCCTGTCACCCACCTTCTGTCACCCACCTTCAGGTCTACCCTTTAAGCAGCTGACAAATAACAACAGCCACTCTTCCCCCTTCCATCTTGGTTTTTGAGACGTCTCAAAATCTCAATTATTATCTCGCAGATTTCTAAAGTCGCTGGCCTCTGTCGCGCACCTGCATTATCCACCCCTTCAGGATGCTTTCAAACAACAACCTCTCAGGCGCTATCCCCTTTTCCATCTCCGGCCTCTCCCGGCTTCTGGCTCTGTATGTGTCCCACTCGCTATGCGCCCTCCCCTCTCCTCTCTGCGTGTTCTCACCTCCCTTCTTGCACTCATACGTTTCTTCTGACTCTAACACATAGAGTCAGCCCAGGCGCTGTATATAGTAGAAAAATCAATTGTAGGTAAGGAAAGTATTGAGGAGTGAAGAATGCGCGGAAAGGGGGTTGGTGGGGCGGTCATTGGAGAGAGGCAGGGATGCTTGGAAGGCGTCAAGTTCAAAAGCGGTCCTCAAAGGTCAATAGGCTGTGAGAGTTTAACTGAGAGTATCGTTTTGCTCCCTCATTTCCTCCTCTTTCCCTCCTCTCCACTCCCGCCTCTCTCGCATCCTTTCCCGTTCCCGTTCCCCTTTTCTCCTCCCTACTCTCTCCCTTCCTTCCTTCCTTCCGCCCGCCCTGGTTTCTCGGCCAGGATGCTAGACGGCAACGCATTGGAGTCTCCTATTCCCACAAGCTTGAGTGGATTGCGGGGGTTGAAGCGCATGTGAGTCGTGCTCTGCTTTGTTTCGGCACTTAATGTCACGGTTACAGCACGCCGCGGCAAGCAGAGAGACACGAGTCGCGAGACGCGCTAGCTGTAGCCTGTGGGCGGTGCGTGCAAGCCCACGGACCTCTCTAGTGTGTGTGTGCACGCAGTGTGTGTGCACGCTTGCTGTTATTGCGCTTGCAGCATGGGTGCTCAAGGGGGCAGCGGTCTGCGGGGTAGCTGGTTGTTGAGTATTCTCGCGAGCCCAACTAGTGTGTCATGCAACAAATGGACGGACATGGGCACGATCGTGCAAGTTGTATCCACAAAGACGCCCGTTGTTTTTGTGTGTGAGATTGGGGAAACCGTGAGAGTGGCACCATGGGAGGGAAAGAAGAGGAAACAGTGGCTACTTTTTTAAGGTGCCTGAGGGATGATCAGAATATATTCCAAGGCGAGAAGATTTTAGGATGGAAACCATACTTTCACTACCTGGAAGACTTTTGAGGCGCCTCAAAAGATTTTAGGATGGAAACCCCTACTTTCACTGCCACATGGAAGAGCGACTTAGTGGAAGATTTTAGGATGAACCAGCAATAATTTTACTACAAACTACTTTTACAAGTTGAATCAGTCGCTGACTTGTAAAGACATGGCTCCAGTCTGGGGCTCCATTGGACTTTCACTGCCACATGGAAGAGCAAACCAGTGGAAGATCTTAGGATGGACGCATCAGTCTGCTTCTATTCCACTCACTCATCCCTCCCGCTATCTCTTCTGCCCTCCTTGTGTTTCCCCTTCCTCGAACCCCTCCATCCCTTTCTCTCCTCCGCCTGCCTCTTTTGGCAACGGCAGGGACCTGAGCAAGAACAAGTTCTCAGAGGACCTTCCAACTGTCCTCACGCGGATGACACAAGTGGAGCACATGTGAGCCCATGAGCGATGCAAGCCCATGAGTGTGTGTGAGCACCTGGGTTACTTTGCTTTGCAGTGCTTGCGTACTTGTGAGCATGTGAGCATGTGAGTGCATGTATAGGTGCACATGAGCGGACATGCAGCTGATGTACCATGGCAACATGTCTGGATTCCTCTGCGTGCTGTGTGTCCACATGCACCCACGTGCACAGCTAGTGTCTGTTTGTGCACACACGAGTTTCCACCGCACCTCCTCCCTTCCCTCCCCCACCATCCATCTCCACAGGAGGCTGACTGTTGAGACGTCCCATAACACCTCTTCTCCTTTCTTTCCCTCCCCTCTCCTCCCCTCCCCTCTCCTCCCCTCCCCTCCCCCCACCTGCTCTCCCTCCCCCACCATCCATACCCACAGGAGGCTGAGTGTTGAGACATCCCATAACACCCCTTCTCCTTTCTTTCCCTCCCCCTCACCATCCATCTTCGCAGGAAGCTGAGCCACAATGACTTCACTGGCAGCATCCCTGCCTCCATCACCTCTCTCGTTTCCCTCACCTACCTGTACGCCTGCCTCCCACTCACACACCTGCATCCTTCCCACCCACACACACCTGTGAGTTTCACTCACACAAACCGTTCCCTTCACGTGCACACCTGCATCCCTCCCTCACGCAAACTCCTCTGGTTGGCATCACTGGTACACCCACCTGTGTGTCTTACTCAAAACAAGAGCGTGGTATCATATTCTGCAGAGAGTGATGTTGAGTGAGAAATGTGACAAGTCCTGATCGAGGAGACATGGGGGTGGGGCAGCCATTGTGTTGGTAGGTGCCAGCATCTGGGAGTCCAACAGGCAATCGACGGGTACTCTCCATACCCCTCTTGCAGTGTGTTACCGGTGTCAAACCAGCCTTTAAGGGTTTCAAGAGGCCTTCCTGAATACCCTTGCTTGCTCCTGTGTTGTGTACTGCTGGCTGCAATGCCGTTGGTGAATGACTGACTTTTTCTTTCGCCTTCTTTCCCTTTCTCCCTCTCCCCATCACCCCCGTTCCGTGCTTCCTCCAGTGATCTAGGCTACACATTGCTGGCCGGCACAATTCCCACCGCCATCACCAAAATGCGACGCCTGTCTCGCCTGTAATCTTGACTTGACTAGGAGGAAATCAAGAAGGCCTTTCTATGCGTCCAGGGGAAAAATCTCATGTGTAGCATGTGCGAGGCGCTTGCGAAATCGCGAGGCACTTCTCAAATCACGAAATGCATTTCTCTTCCTTTTTTCCTTTTGAAAAAAAAAAAATCAAAAGTGTCTCCAATAGATCATAGAAGCCAGCCCCACCAGGTGTCCCTTCACCCCCGTTGACCCTTATTCATTCTCATCACTGCGGTCTCGTCCATGCCTCTCACCCTTTCCCACCATAATGATCTCGTTTGCCCCTTGCATCGCCCTCGTCTTGCTCTGATCGCACCTCCATTTCCCCCTTGAAAGCCACCATCCTCCCATGGTTCGCTGCGTCACTCTCCACCATGCCACCGTGCCACCATGCATTAACCTATCCCACACGCTGTGCATACCACTATCCATGGTCAACCCTCTCTCAGCGACCTGCAAATACCAACACTCACGGGCTCCGTCCCGGCCTCCATGGGCGCTATGCTTAATCTGCAGTACCTGTGAGCTGCCCCAACCTTCTTCCCCTTCACCAACACTTAGGGAACACTGCTTTCCACTGCTGCTTTCCGCATCTCGTTTTCACACCTGGCCTCTAGTGGTTGCATTGAATGTCCTCCCTCTTGTGCTTGCCATTCTTCCCTCACCACCTCGCCGCACCTCACTGCACCGAACTTCCGCTACTGCTGCTCCTCTTGGGTATGGTTCCACTGCTTATTCCCTCCTTGCCTTTCCATTTTTTGATTTCGGAAAAACTTAAACCATAGCCCCAAACCCCACCCCACTGCTTTTCACCCCCACCCCCTCCCGCCTTCCCTCCTCCTGCTCGGTCTTCTCTGTCTCACACACAGCTATGTCAACTACGAGGCGACGCCATGCGGTTACGGGGAGTGCGAGGTGGTGCAGTACTCCGGCACAGCCTTCTGCCGTGCCTGCACTGACTTCTGTGACACGTGCTCTCGCAAGGGTAGGGAGGAGGGAGGAGAGAGGTTCTGAGTTGCTGCACTTGAGGAAAATAACCTCGTTGCGAGTTCTGAGTTGTCAACCGTGTGCTTGGGAGCGAGAGGAGGAGGATGCAGGGGAAGCATGGGGCCGAAGCTTAGGGTTTAGGGTACAAAGCCATCCACTGCCCCAGCCTGTTCCTGTGAGCATGCCTTGGCTCGCACGCACATGCTCGCCTGTGTATGTTTGCCTTGTACATGCACGTGCTCATGCGTATGCTAGTGTGTGGTGCGCGTGCAAGCATGTCAAGGCTGTCATGGGGTGCGCTGTACTGGCTGCGCACTGGCGTGCCTCCTGTGTAATACAAACACAAGAGACAGGGGTCAGATGTGTTCATGCGCTCTTGCCATGCCACACCCACAGGTGCAGCCAAACCCACAACGCACGCACCCACACACGCACGCACGCACGCACGCACGCACGCACGCACGCACGCACGCACGCACGCACGCACGCACGCACGCACGCACACACGCGCACACACACGCGCGTGCGCACACACACACAGAGCTCCACACATATCACACATCGCATCACACCCACCTCCTCTTCCCTTCCTCTGCCTTGCCAACAGCCCCCAACCCTGATAAGTGTCGGAAGAAGTGTCGTGCCTGCTCGCGCAAGTCCTGCCCGGGCCGCATCTGCATTCCCTTCGTCCGCAGCTGCAAGGGCTACAAGTGCATCTGATCGGATGCGCATTTATCTACGTGCACATGCATGCTAGGCATGCACTTTCCCAGTCTTCCGTATTCCCCTGGATAGGAAACCGTAGTGCTGTAGTTTTTGTCTTTAGGGTGGGAAGTTATGTAGTCGTTTGCTGCATCTCTCTCCACACTCGTACCGATTGGCGAGGGCTTAAATTAGGGTGGTTTCCAAGTTTCCGGACCCATAATTTGACAGTAAAGCCGTGGAGTATGCCACAGTGTATTTGGCTTACTGGCCCGGGAGCGTCGGCTGACTCACGGGCACCTAGAGCTGCAGCAGACTCACCAGCACCTGGAGCGGCAGCAGACTCACTAGAACCGAGAGCAGCAACCTCTACACAACCAGGGACGCATCGCTGAGAAGCACAGTCGCGAGGTCGCTGAGGCCACATAAAACCAAAACCTCCACCACCAGGACGGCCTCGCTGAACAAGCCACTCACGAAGCTGCTGAGGGGTGGGGTCGTCCGGGAGAGGCAGTACCCGCTGCTGTCCACCCCTAGCCGCTGCAACTGCCGCGATAGTGGCCATGACAGGCAGTGACGGTCAGTAGTAGGTCCAGCACCTCCAGCACCAGCAGCACCTCCAGTACTCCCAGCCGCACCTCCAGCACTCCCAGCAGCACCTCCACCAGCAGCAGCAGAAGCACGAGCAGCAGCAGCAGCAGTAGTAGCAGCAGGGCGGCTCGGTGGGGTTGGGCGGCGGCACCTCCAACACTCCCAGCAGCACCTCCACCAGCAGCAGCAGCAGCAGCAGCAGCAGCAGTAGTAGCAACAGGGCGGCTCGGGCTGGGCGGCGCGGCTCGGCCTGGGCGGCGCGCGCTGTGCAGGGCAGCAGGGCGCGACGCGCGGGCTGCAGCAGGGCGCGACGTGCGGGTCAGCAGGGCGCGACGCGCTGGCTGCAGCAGGGCGCGACGCGCGGGGCAGCAGAGCGCGACGCGCGGGGCAGCAGGGCGCGACGCGGTGGCTGCAGCAGGGCGCGACGCGCTGGCTGCAGCAGGGCGCGACGCGCGGGCTGCAGCAGGGCGCGACGCGCAGGGCAGCAGGGCGCGACGTGCGGGCTGCAGCAGAGCGCGACGCGCGGGCTGCAGCAGAGCGCGACGCGCGGGCTGCAGCAGGGCGCGACGCGCAGGGCAGGGGCTGCTCACGGGCAGAAGGGGGGCTCGGGGCAGGGGCTGCTCATGGGCAGCAGGGGCGCTCGGGGCAGGGGCTGCTCACGGGCAGCTGTGGCGCTCGAGGCAGGGGCTGCTCGCGGGCAGCAGTGGCGCTCGAGGCAGGGGCTGCTCACAGGCAGCAGTGGCGCTCGAGGCAGGGGCTTCTCGCGGGCAGCAGTGGCGCGCGGGGCAGAGGCTGCTCGCGGGTAGCAGGGGCGCGCGTGACAGCAGAGCAGCACGCTAGGGCAGGCAGTGCGAGTAGCTGCAGGGCAGCGTGACACTGTGTGAGAGGGCCGGACAGCGCAAGGGCGCTTCGGGTAGGAACTAGCGGAACGATAGGTGGGCCCTAAAAACCTAACAGGTTTCCTGCTCTGAATACCATGTCAGAATCACTGTGCAGGAATGAATGAACTATGAATGAGTTGGGTACAAGTACTAACCCTAAAGTGTTGTACCCCTTGTAGGCTAACCCACTATAGCCTAGAGAGAACACAAACATATAGTTTGACAGAAGTATGAATGCCATTGTTTATAATTGTTGAATTGAGAAAAGCCTTATGATCTTTTAGAGTTTAGTCTCTGTAAAGTATTGCAGGTGAAGACTTGAATTCCAGTGTTGGTAAATTGTGAGAACAAGAATTGAATAATAAAGAAGAGATACAAGAGATTTATAGTCTACGAAAGTACCTATTCAGAGATGTACCTGTTCATGAAACGGGCTAGTTTATCGAATCGACTCTACGAAGAGGTATAATCCTGTGTCACGCAAACAGTCGCGAGACTGTTCGCACTACTACATGTAACTCACGCAAAGGGATACCTGCTACAGTAACATGCATATATAGAAATAGTACGATACTTCTGTAGTTTCATACTATCGAACTACTGAATTTTATAAGTCAGTGTTGTTGGTGTTGTGACCTTCAATTATGGAGTTCGATGTTGTCGGTGTTGTTGGTGATGTGACCGAGTCCAGTCAGCATCATGCAATACTGGAATTTTGGACGTGGCAGGCGCTTAGTCAAGTAGTCCGCAGCCATTTCGTTCGTGGGGCAGTAATCGAGCTGTAACTTCCATTGCTCGATTTCGTCCTTGACGAAAAAGTAGCGACGTGAAATGTGTTTGGTTCGATTCGCGAACCCGGACTTGTTCGGGATGCGAATTGCAGACTGGCTGTCGCAACAGAGCTGAAACTGTGGCAGGTCCAGTAACTTTGCTTCGCTAAGCAATTCGCGAAGGTAAAGTCCTTCCTTCGTGGCAGTGCATGCAGCGATGAATTCTGCCTCAACTGATGAAAGTGCAATCAGCTCCTGCTTAGATGACTGCCAGGAGATTGTTCCCACGGACTCAAGGCGGAAAATATAACCCGTACGTGAGTGCATGTTTGTACTATCACCCACGTGATTTGCATCTACGTAGCCGAGTAGAGCTAGCTACCACTTCGGCGACTTATGGTACGTCTGTCCGATAGTAGGTGTAGATACGAAGTACGAAACAGCTGCTTCCAGCTCCCGTAGGTTGTCCCCTTCAGGCCGCTTAAGATATTGAGCGAGCTGGCTAGCTGAGTAAGCTAAATCCGGACGGCACTTCACAGCTGCGAAGAGTAGGCTACCCAGGAGTTGCTGATAGCGTGTCACACCCGCAGAGTTGAGAGGCTTGGATTCAGCTACCGGAGTAGAACGGAACGGAGTCTTAGAGGTAGTTATCGGTAAAGGAAAGCGCTCCAGCAGCTTCTCGGCGCATTTCTCGGCGGAGAGATGAATAGCAGTGGGAGTCTCGGTGATGTTGAGCCCGAGATACTGAGTGACATCGGTGGAGATGGTAATTGTCAGATCAGTTTTCAGCTCCCCTTCAAAATAAGAAATAATGTCGGGCGAGCTGCCGATGTAAAGCAAGTCGTCGACATAGACGACGAGTAAGACGAATGCAGCTGCGTGATCGAGACGGTACATGCCGTGGTCATGAGGCAGTTGACGAAAACCGATGCGGATGAGGCGTTCGTGTAGATGCTGCTGCCAGAGACGCGGCGCCTGTTTTATCCCGTAGAGAGATTTGTTGAGGCGACAGACTTTGGAGGGGTCCGTAACGTAACCGTGCGGCTGCTCGACAAGTATG